TTCCTTTTAAATGGCCCATTATGTGTTTAGAAAGCCCACCAGGAGTTGGAGAAAGAAACACCAGCATCATTTTAGGCAGCTTGTTCCTGAACTTGCGGAAAAATAATGGAATTCTCTGAGATTTACAGTCAAAGAGAAAATCAAATATCTTTTACTAAGTTTACCCTGAAAATGTCTTAGACAGTAGTGTGATTTGGCCTATTTTAAGACATTTTGTTTTTCTATTTGTGAGCTATACGTTGCTCGCAAATAGTGGACCTGGATCTATTCATAGCAGATGAAAAGAGCTTGTACAACACAGGTAAAAGACATGCAAATTTAAAAAATTAAGGCCCAAAGGAGCTGTTACACCTCCTCCCGAGGTTTGAGCCCTGTCATGTTGTGAATTCCCCAGGGCCCTTTTGCACAGGGGGCTCCCTCTTGGGCTGGTACGAATAGCACATGACACTCCTGAACATGCTCTTGTTGCCACATAAAAAATGTAAAAAGAGATAGGACCGGGTTCCATGGTTCCTGCCTGTAATCCAAGCACTTGGGGAGACCAAGGCGGGAGGATTGCTTGAACCCAAAATTTCGATAGCAGCCTGCGTAATGAAAGAAGACCCCCCTCTCTTTAAAAAGAATAAAAAGAACGAAACAGGTAAAATTAATCCTAGTAAGGTTTTTTCAGTTTTTAGTTTGCGTGTTTTGAGACAAGGTCTTGCTCAGCCGCCCAAGCTGGAGAGCAGTGGTGCGATCATAGCATCGCAGCTCACTGCAGCCTCCTGAGTAGCTAGGCCTGCAGGAACGCACTGCCGTACCTGCCGATTTTTTTTTTTTTTTTCAGTTTTGTAGAGACACAGTTCAGCATGTTGCCCAGGCTGGCCTTAAACTCCTGGGCTTAAGCGATCTTCTTGCCTCGGCCTCCCAAAGTGCTGGGGTTTACAGGTGTGAACCACCACGCCTGGCCCAACAAATTTTATCTAAGGCAATATAGCTAAAATATTATTATTCAATATGTAATTAATACATTTTATTATTTTTTTTACTTTACAACAAAACATGGTGACTGTAGGCAGTAATTAATACATTTTAATTGAGATACTCGACACTATTTTTGTCCCAAGTCTCCTGGCTCCCTTTCCTGTGCGCAGCAGCCACGTGCAGCTTGTGGCCCCATAGTGGGACGTTCACTAGGTGAGGCATCCAGCTGCTCTATTTCCAAAGTCACAGGGACTGTGTCGTGTTAACTCCTCTGCACGAGACAGGGACAGCAAAAGCTGTTTAAGTCCTTTTACCCCAAATGGGAAAGGAAGGTTTATTTTTAAAATGTAGAACATTTTTTCCTGATTGCCCAAGGAATACACACTTATTAAAGAAGGCAGAGCTTGGTGAATCAAACAAGAAATTGTAGATGATTCTAAAAGGTGTTTTTTCTTTCTTAGATTTGTTTTTCAGCCAAAAGACCCTTAAAGGATCTTGCATGTTCCTTTTCATTATTATTGAGGAAACAGGCTGTCAAAGAGATGCCGATTAAAACGTGGTGTGCCTTAAAATACACAGAGTAGCTGATGGAGTAAGAAAGCTCCACAGGATGCGCAGGTGTAGGTGTGTTCTGGAGCAGCGTGCCACCAGTGCAAGGGAGCCAGGGGTCCATTTGTGTGAGAGGCAGCAGTACTGGATGCCTGGTCCATTACAGTCGGCGGCTCCACACTGAGCAGGGCCCAGCCTTTAATTTAGGATGAAGCCTAAAGTGTGTTGCTGTGTCATTTGACATAGATCCAAAAAGGATGAGAAATCAACCGATTAATGGCTTGGACATGTTCATCTCTGATTTAGGTGGAGTATCTGCAGGAGTCCATTAAACTGGAAATTAATCTGAACTTGAAGCTTTTACTCTTTGTTAAGCGTTACAGAGCTTGTTTCCATTAAAAGACTTCCTCCTGCAGTCTTGAGAGCTGAAGGTGTCTGTTCTGCAGCGTGCTGCTCTCAGTTACGTAAGCTGGTTGTTGGCTAAAATGAAGACTGAATTGAAGTTATTTGTCTCATTTTTGCAGTAGCTTTTCTCTCTGTTTAACAGTAGTGTCACCACAGTCTGTTACACTGCACCTTAAGAAATTAATTTTAGTCTTTGGATACTAACCAGGGTGAAGTTGCTTAAATCTCATGTTTTATTTTCTCCATTTTAAGTTTCCTTATGACATTTTAAAATCAAAGGCTGTAACGTGAACAAGCATATAGTATTCAGAAATAAATATTAAACTCAGTACTTGCCAGGTAAAAATTCATTGACAAAAAGGCCTTTGCTACTCCAAGTATTCTTCATCTTCCTTTCTCCAAATGTTACTGCTCGCATATACATACTCAGTTACGTAGTTTTTTTGTGTTTTAATTATAAAGCAGAATGACCAATAATAGTTTAACTAAAGAGAAATTTGGAATCTATAAATTTGGTATATTTATAGTTATCTATCTGTCTATCTATGTGTCTATCTATCTATCTATCTATCTATATTTTTTTGAGATGGAGTCTCGCTGTGTTGCCCAAGCTGGACTGCAGTCACATCTCGGCTCACTGCCATTCTCCTGCCCCAGCCTCCCGGAGTAGCTGGTATTACAGGTGTCAGCCACCACACCTGGTTATTTTTTGTATTTTTAGTGAGATGGAGTTTCACCATATTACCCAGGCTGGTCTTGTACTCCTGACCTCAGGTGATCCACCCACCTTGGCCCCTCAAAGTGATGTGATGGGATTACAGGCATGAACCATCGTGCCTGACCAATATATTTCCATATTATCAGTTTATAAATTACTCCCACAGGCTTCCTAAAATGGAAATCATTTGCAGTGAGCAGTTTGCCCTGAAAGCCTGAGCCACTGGGAACTCCTTCTCCACCTCCCCCACGTGGGGGCCTTTGGATACATGACTGTAAGGGCTGCACCTGCCATTTGCCATTTTGAAAGTAGGTGGTCAGATGACAGCATATAAACACATTTTTCTTACTAGAAATTGTCAGCCAGGCGAGGTAGCTCTCACCTATAATCCCAGCACCTTGGGAGGCCAAGGCGGAAGGATCATTTGAGCCCAGGAATTCAAGACGAGCCACAGGCAACGTGTTGAGATCCCCATCTCTACCAATTATATATATATATATACACACACACACACACACACACACATACATACACAAAAATTAGCTGCGCATGGTGGTGCATGCTTGTAGCCTAGCTATTCAGGAGGCTGAGATGGGAGGATCACCTTGAGCCCAGGAGGTCGAGGCTGCAGTGAAGCGTGATGATATCACTGTACTCCAGCCTGGGCAACAAGAGCGAAACTTGTCTCAAAAAAAAAAAAAGAGATCAGGCTTGGTGGCTCATGTCTGTATCCCATCACCCTGGGAGGCTGAGGTGGGTGAATCACCTGAGGTCAGGAGTTCAAGACCAGCCTGGCCAACATGGTGAAACCTTGTCTCTACAAAATATACAAAATTAGCCAGGTGCGGTGACACACATCTGCAGTTGCAGTTACTCAAGAGGCTGAGACATAGAGAATCACTTGAACCCGGGAGGTGGAGGCTGCAGTGAGCCTAGATCGTGCCCCTGCACTCCATTCTGGGTAAGACAGAGTGAGACTCTGTCTCAAAAAAAGAAAAAAAATTGTGATTTTTCTTGAAAATTATAGCTACACTCAAATTTTTAACCTTTTAATTAAAGCCATTGTTTTACTTTCCTTTATGATACCTACCTTTCTGTTTATAAACATACATTCTCTTTTGAGATGTCTAGGTCTATTTTCTAGTAACTTTGATCTATTAGTAATGAAGACCTTTGAGTTAGCACTGGTAGATCCCTTCACAGCACTTACCTGCTTCTGAAGGTCATTTATAGATGAGAAATGAGAACAGCAGCCAGAGAAGCTCATGTGAATCTGATTGTCTGACTCCAGGTCCCTTGCTCTTTTTCTATAGAAATTATTTATTTTTCTTTACTTTCCTTACCTTTTTTTTTTTTTTTAAACGGAGTATTGGTCTGTCACCCAGGTTGAGGCTGGAGTGCAGTGGTGTGGTCCGGCTCACTGCAACCTCTGCCTCCCAGGTTCAAGTGATTCTCCTGCCTCAGCCTCCTCAGTAGCTGGAATTACAGGCACACCCCACCATACCCAGCTAATTTTTATAATTTTAGTAGAGATGGGGTTTTGCCATGTTGACCAGGCTGGTCTCTGACTCCTAACCTCAGGTGACCCACCTCCCTTGGCCTCCCAAAGTGCTGGGATTACAGGCATGAGCCACTGCACCCAGCCTATTTTCCTTAAATTTTTAAATTTTATTTTTAGTAGAGATGAGGTCTCTCTTTGTTGCCCAGATTGGTCTTGAACTCTTGGGCTCTGGCGATCTTCCTGCCTCAGCTTCTGAAAGTGGTAGGATTACAGACGTGAGCGACTGCGCCCTCCATAGAATTTAGAATTAGTTATTGTTTCTCTTGAAAACAAAGTACTTAGTTAATGCAATCTGAAGAAAAGTTTTTTGGGCTGGATATCTGGTCCTTTTTAGACCTTTTCTTTGGGCCACAGGTTTCCTGACCCTACATGGGCTTTGTAAAAAGAGCAAGACGTGTATGTGCCAGCCAGTGCAGCAGTGAGGATACAGGCAGCATCAGGTCCCAGAGTGCTTGGGTGCTGCCCCAGCTTGCAGTGTGGTCTCCTCAGTGCTGGACACAGCTGTGGGCTTCAGAAGTATTGTGTGCAGGTCTCAGACAGATTTTGATATTACTGGTTCTCTGTTCAGCGTGGCCTGGACAGTCCACAGGTGGCAATAGATTGTGGGGTGTTGAGAGGCAAGAAGTGAGTACGCCATTCTTCACGCTCCACTTGCGCTCCTCACAGCGTATGAAAGCTGTTTCTGAAACTTGGGTGTGTGTGGACCTAAGATTGAATGTATCTGAAATGTTGCTAATTTCTCACGTTCTTGTTTCCCAGGATGCCAGGAAAGCATGTGCAGATGCAACTCTCTCTCAGGTAAGAGCCCACTGAGTCATGCAGAGCCATCTACCTGTGAGGAGGCTGGCGTGGGTTCCCACACCTGGAGCCTCGGGAGGGCTCTGCTCGGGTTCTCTCCTCCACAGTGAGGTTGCCAAGCCACTGCATGGAGTGTTTTTATTAAGAAGTCATTCTGATGGTAGGCATAGGAAGTAGAAGGGCTTTTTGAGATGAAAACAAGATGTATCAAGATAATTATATAATTATCTTCCTGTTACAGAGGTAATAGTTGTAAAATATTGCTACTCTCTTAAGGTATTTTGAAGCTCCTCTCCTTAACAGAATCTGCCTCAGAACTTCGATTTCTAATATCCAATTTGGCAATACCTCAAAAAGTTCGACCTAGAATTACTGTGTGACTCAGCAGCTCTACCGTTACATATATGCCCAACAAAACTGAACATGGGTTTTCTAACAAACACATGTACGTGGATGTTTGTAGCAGCACCATTTACAACAGCCAAAATGTAGAAACAACCGAAATGTGCATAAGTAAGTCAGTGGATCAATAAATGTGGTGTCTCTTAAATTCCCCTGGAGTATTACCAGCTGTTAAATGGACCTCAGTACAGTCAGAGGCTACACTAGGGATAAGCCCCATGAATACCACAATACGTGAAAGAAGCCAAACAAAAGTGGCTATGTTTTGTGATTCTGTTTCTATGAAATACCTAGAATAGTAAAATGCATTGAGACACAGTGAACTAGTGGCGAGCAGGGGCATTAGGGGAGAGTGGGAAGAAGGTGAGGAACAGGGACTGACTGCAAATGGATGTCAGCTCTCCTTTTTGGTATGATGAAGACGTTTTGGAACTAGATGCTGGCAATAGTCGCAAGTCCATCCTAGCACTTTGGGAGGCCAAGGCGGGTGGATCACTGGAGGTCAGGAGTTCGAGACCATCCTGGCCAACATGGTGAATCTCCGTGTCTACTAAAATACAAAAATTAGCAATATTTGTATTTTAGTAGACACGGGGATTCACCATGTTGGCGTGGATATTATCCTGTGGTGTCACGCTCTCGTTGTCCTGGCTACTCAGGAGGCTGAGGCAGGAGAATCACTTGAACCCTGGAGGCAGAGGTTGCACTGAGCCAAGACCACACCACTGCACTCCAGCCTGAGCGACAGAGTGGGACTTAGTCAAAGATAATAATAATAAAAGTAAAAATAAAGTCCAAAGAATTGGACAGAAATGTAAAAGAAAAGCTATATTCATACTTCTAATGAAGATGTTTAAATTTTTTTTTTTTTTTTTTGAGACAGAGTTTCACTCTTGTTACCCAGGCTGGAGTGCAATGGCGCGATCTCGGCTCACCGCAACCTCCGCCTCCTGGGTTCAGGCAATTCTCCTGCCTCAGCCTCCTGAGTAGCTGGGATTATAGGCACGCACCACCATGCCCAGCTAATTTTTTTGTAGTTTTAGTAGAGACAGGGTTTCACCATGTCGACCAGGATGGTCTCGATCTCTTGACCTTGTGATCCACCCGCCTCGGCCTCCCAAAGTGCTGGGATTACAGGCGTGAGCCACCGCGCCCGTCCTATCTTTAAATTTTTTTAATTGTTCAAATGCTTTAGGGGATGCCCTTTAATTGAGATTAAATTGTAAGTTAAAGAAAAAAAAATTAGGCTGCATAGAATTACCTGAATTTCACTTCTCAAAACACTTGGGACTGTCCATTTTTAAAAACCCACTATTGTGATACACTTACTCCATTTGCCAACCTAAACTCATTAACATCAGTATCTGTATGTAGGATGGTCTTGGCAGGTGTGTATACAGCTTGTGCTACGAATGATAGTCGTGCAGAAGCAGGTGTCATCCAGGCCCACACATGTGGTGTTGGACATCTGTGAGGTGTGAGGAGGAAAAGTAGCGAGATCTCAAAGGACTGAGAGACCTAGGAGGAGCTGGTCCTGGATGGACAGGGAGAGGAGGAAGGAGGCAGGAAAGGAACAGCGAGTGCTTCAAGGCTGGCAGTGTCCTTGTGCTTGGAGGGGAGGCCAAACACGTTCCTGATGACCGACAGACTGAGACTTGGTGAGAAGTGCAGAAGGGGTTCAGTGCAGAATGGCACAGTGGGAGTCACTGGAGAGCTGTGGGGAGGGCTGGGAAGAGGTGGGCACAATGGGCCAGCCAACAGCCATGACCGGGAAGGGAGAGGAGGAGAGTCGTTTAATCACAGCTGTTAATTCACAGAAAGGTTTTTATTTTCAAGATCACAAACAACATCGACCCAGTGGGAAGAATCCAAATGCGCACGAGGAGGACACTACGGGGGCACCTGGCCAAGATCTATGCCATGCACTGGGGCACAGACTCCAGGTAGGTGTGGGAAGAGCAGGACGCTGCTTCACATGTTCCAGGCAGCTCTGTTTTCCTAGGGGAAAACAACCCGAACCCATTTGCTGTGTTTTACAGCGAAAAAATGAGGAAGTTAAATCAGAAACCTGGGCACGCCACCTGCAGCATTCACAGAGGCCTACTCCCTGTCCTGTTTTCCACTTACCTGCACTGAAAGGACGCTGCCATTCCTTTTTTTTTTTTTGGAGGCAGGCCTGGATTTATATATTTATCTGTCTAGCTATGTAATTATTTGGAGGCCGGCTCACATTTAGCTATTTATTTATTTAGACGCAGCTCACAACATTTATTTATATTCTTATGTATTTGTGTGCAGGCTTGCATTTACTCATTTTCTTCACTATCTATATAATGATTTAGAGGCAGGATTGCACTTATTTACTTAGATGTAGCCTAGCGTTTAATTATTTATTTATTTGTTTGTTTATTTTAGATGGAGTCTTGCTCTGTCACCAGGCTGGAGTGCAGTGGCCCAATCTTGGCTTACTGCAACCTCTGCCTCCTGGGTTCAAGCGATTCTTCCACCTGAGGCTCCCGAGTAGCTGGGACCATAGGCGCGTGCCACCACACCTGGCTAATATTTCTGTATTTTTATTAGAGATGGGGTTTCATCACGTTGGCCAGGATGGTCTCGATCTCTTGACCTTGTGATCGGCCCGTCTCGGCCTCCCAAAGTGCTGGGATTACAGGCGTGAGTCATGGCACCTTGCCTTTATTTATTTACTTAATTATCTAATTATTTACTTAGAGACAGTCAAGCCGTCTTGCATTTATTTATTCATATATTTATTTAGTTAGTTAATTATCTTCATCTTATTTTTTTTTTAAATAATAAGATACCTGAGGTCAGGACATTGAGAACAGCCTGGGCAAGATGGTGAAGTGAGCCGTGTCTCTATTTAAAAAAAATAATAAGAGGACGCTGCCATTTCTTCACCATCTGAGTCACATCAATACAACTTCTGATTTTTCCTTCTCCCTTCTCACGACTCTTTCAGTTTCTTGAACTCTGTCCTCCTGGTTCTACTGCATCCTGCTTATGGGAACTTGAGAAAGTGACCTCTGTGCCTGTTTGTCAGGGCTGGTCGGCCCTCACCCTTCTGTGATTTCAGTGCCCAGGCTCCGGAAATCACAGAACCTGACCCGAGAATCCTGAGGGATGAAGCGTATTGAGCCTTAGAATCAGCATCGTGTTGTATGTGGTTTGCTGTTGGCTTTCAGCAGCAGACAGTCAGAAATGTGCTGTGAGCCGCTCTCACTCTTCTCTCACCTGGCCTGTCTGCCCTGCCTTCCTTTTGTTTACCATCCCAAAAGATAATTCCCTTCATGGGTTCCAATTTTTTCTTCCCTTGTCTTTTTTTTTTTTTTTTGAGACGGGGGGGGTCTCACTCTGTCAGTCATGCTGGAGTGCAGTGGTATGATCATGTCTCACTGCAGCCTCTACCTCCTAGGCTCCAGCAACCCTTCCTACTCAGCCTCCAAAGTGGCTGAGACCACAGGCATGTGCCACCACACCTTGCTAATATATATGTATTTTTTTGTAGAGACAGGATCTCTCTTTGTTGCTGAGGCCAGTCTCAAACTCCTGGCCCCCAAGTGATCCTTCCATCTCAGCCTCCCAAAGTGCTAAGATTACAGGTGTGAGCCACCACCATTTCTAGCCTGTTTTTAATACTTTAAATTATACCTCTTGCTTTTCCACCGGGCGCCTCACCTCTGTCATCCCACACTCTGTGTGTTCCTCTCAATTAGAGGCTATTACAAAGTCTTATTTGCTGCCTGTTCTATCCGAATAATTTAATAAAGTGCTATTTGATTTGTGTAACCGTGACATGCTCTTCCAAGCACCTGACATATCAGTTTTTAACATTCCCTTCGTTGAGTAGTATTTCTTTGTATTCAGTTGTTAGCATGGAATTTTCTGCTTGGCTTTTTCTTTGTTTGTGAAATTGTCTACTTTAGAGCACAAACCAGCTACAGAACAAAAGAGTCTATCTTTAGTTTGTTCTATATTGTATCCCATACAATTCCATATGCAAATCAGTACTTTTCCAATGCGGGAGGAGGCAGAATAAAAATGGGTGGGGGAGCGGGGGAGGGGGAGATAATGTTCTGAGGGTACAGAGCTTTAGTTAGGAATAAATTCTAGAAATCTGTAGCCCAGCACGGAGACTGTAGTTAATAATAACGTGTACTTCAAAATTGTTAGTAAAGTCGATTTTAAATGTTCCTAACACACACGCACACACACACGATTAGTGATGGGTATGTTGATTAGCTTCTTTCATTTCACAATGTGGATATATACTAAAACACCACATTGTACTCTGTAAATAATTATTTGTCAAAAATTCTTTTAAATATTCAAAACAAATAAGTAACCAGGTACGTTGGCTCATGCCTGTCATCCAGGCACTTTGGGAGGCTGAGGCAGGGGAACGGCTTGAGACCAGGAGTTCAAGACCAGCCCAGGCCACATGGCGAGACCCCTTCTCTACAAAAAATACAAAAATTAGCTAGGTGTGGTAGTGCGCACCTGTAGTCCCAGCTACTCAGGAGGCTGAGGTGGGAGGATCACTTGAACCTAGGAGGCAAGAAGCAGAAGTTGCAGTGAGCTGAGATCATGCCACTGTGTTTCAGCCTGCGTGACAGTGAGACCCTGTCTCTATATAAATAAGTGTATACTTTGTAAATTCAAAGTTATGTCTTTAAAAAGGTAAAGAAGAATTAAAAAAGAAAATGTTCTGGCCAGGTGCAGTGGCTCACACCTATAATCCCAACACTTTGGGAGGTCGAGGCGGGCGGATCAACTGAGGTCAGTAGTTCGAGACCAGCCTGGCCAACATGGCGAAACCCGGTCTTTACTAAAAGTATAAAAATCAGCCAGGCATGGTGGCAGTAGTCCCAGCTACTTGGGAGGCTGAGGGACGTGGAGGTTGCGGTGAGCCAAAATTGTACCACTGAACTCCAGCCTGGGCGACAGAGTAAGACTCTGTCTCAAAAAAAAAAAAAAAAAAAAAGAAAAAGAAAATGTTGTTATGTTGTTAGTAGTCTTTCCTAGAATTTATTGTCAAAAGTAGAAGAGAAACAAAACAGTATGTTACCTTGGGGGCCTTTCCTCCACGTGTGGGGACGTTGATGTCCAGGTTAGGCAGGTGGAGAAAGTAGACGGTGCTGTCGCTGAGAAGTGTTGAGGTACTCACAGCACTGCACTGCTCAGTAATGTGTCTCCTTCACCAGCTGGGCTCTGCACTGGGTAGTCTAGAAGAGAGGAGAGTGATCTGCATGCAGGTGTGTTCGGGGACCTGTGAGATGGATATGTGGCCTGAGCAGTGGAGGTGCGGCTGGGGGCTCGGCTGGTGGGGTGGGTGCCAGATTACTGGGTGGGGGGCTTTATGTTCCATCTGTCTCAAATACACTGCGTGCCTTGAAAGCCCCAGGATCAGAAGGAAGAAAAGCAAGGGCTGACAAAGCAGAACCAAGTTCAGAGTCGTGGCCACCCTGTGAGCAAGGCGGTCTTCAGTGAGGTCTGGGGGAGACTGTGGTGCCACGTGTGTCCTCATTCTTGGACAGGGTGGTAGGTGCATAGCCTTTGCTGTATAATTTCACAGTCATGAGGAAACCAAAATGATGTTATGGAGAACCTCTGCTTTCCAGAGGCTTCTAGAGACTGCTTGTTCTAAATAGCCATTTTTTCAGGATAGGCCAGTGGTTGGCTCTTTGAGGTCTAAAAGAGGTTTTTTGGAGAGAAGGTATATACTTTCTTTTTTCCCCATATTTCCTTTATAAACAAATGTTACTGCTTAACATTTTTTTATGACTTAAAGCTATAATTTATGAATACCTATTCTTTCACTGTGTTCATTTGATTTATGGACACTCTGAAACCGTAGAAATGACTACCAGTTTGTCTTTGAAAACTACATGAAGCTTTCAAAGGCGTGGTGGCTCACACCTGTAATTCGGCACTTTGGGAGGCCAAGGCAGGTGGATCGCTTGAGGTCAGGGTTAGGGTTAGGAGACCAGGCTAGCCAACATGGTAAAACCCTGTCTCTACTAAAAATACAAATATTATCTGGGCATGGTGTACGTGCCTGTAGTTGCAGCTACACAGGAGGCTGAGGCAGGAGATCGCTTGAACCCCCGGAGGCAGAGGTTGCCATGAGTCAAGATCGTGCCACTGCACTCCAACCTGGGTGACAGCATGAGACTCCATCTCAAAAAAAAAAACTACATGAGAGGCCCACAATGAGTACTTGTTATGTATGCATTAATGTAACAGATGTATGTATTTCTTATGTATTATTAAGTAGCAGATTTATACATTTGTAATATATTTATCAATGTATTTGTTTGTACTGAACGGCGATCTTTTTTTGAAACTAGGTCTCTGTCACCTAGGCTGAAATGCAATGGTGAGATCCTAGCTCACTGCAGCCTTGAATTTTTGTGGTCAAGCCATCTTCCTGCCTTAGCCTCCTGAGTAGCTGGTAACACAGGTGCACATCACTGTGCCCAGTTAATTTTTTAAATAGTTTTTGTAGAGACAGGGTCTCCCCCTGTTGTCCCATGTTGGTCTCAAACTCCCGGACTTAACCGATCCTCTCATCTCAGCCTTCTAAAGTGCTGGGATTACAGGCATGCGCCACCACCCTTCCTCCTTTGAGTAAAATGAAGAGAGTTAGGTGTTTTGATTTTTTGACAGCTGCTTTTAGGGTCCTGGGGCCCTTTATCTTGCTTTCTGGCTCTTGCCTGTATGTTCCGGGTGGGTGGCACCTCAGATAATTGATTTTTGAGTAGGTAAAGGCACTAGCAGGCAATGTGAACCCAACTCTCCAACAGCTCCTT